TGTATATACTCATTAGAGATGATCATAGGAGTGTACATTTTCTATTAGTACCATACAAATCCCTATGCCAGTATAGATAGTATATCGACTGTAACTACACAAAACCGTTATGAAAACTTGACTTCCTATATACCATTTGATGTATCTCAACGAGCTCTACAATACTGTATAAAAACGAAATCGATTCAAGAAAATTTTTTTATCCGGCGGGGTCCATTCTATTGAAGACAAGAAATTATTTTATTTTAATATTCTTATAGAGAAATCAGAAAACATGATGGGAAAGCTTCTCTTTGGATTTTACTGCCTAAACTCAGTACTTTTCATTTAAGAAAAACAAATAAAACGACTCGTGGAGTTTTCTAAAGAATGTAATCGCTCCTTCTTCTTCTCAGAAGAAGAACAGAAAGCTAAAAAGAGAAGAAAATGAAGTTTATATTCTTTCTGTTCTGATTTAAATTGACAGAAAAAAAAGAGAAAAGCCCATAAAAGGAGAAAAAGTCATAAAGTGAACAATAAGGAATTATGCCGCAGACTTCATTTTACTTTTATCAGCGCAGAAAAGAAACATTGAACGGGTCGTTGTCATCGATGAAACATATCAAGTGCCGGTGTGCAATGCTGTTCGTTCAACAGAAAGAAAAGTGCACTCAAGTTAGATCTTTCATTGCGCATTCTTAATATAAATCTTGTCAGCTTTTATAATATGTCTTACTCGCTGCAAATTTTATTCTAGAAACACATACACTATTATAACATTAATACCCTTTATAATAATATATTTGGAATATCCAAATTGTAATATACATATATACAGAAGTGCAATGATAAAAAAGGAAATGAGTTAGATGATGAGGTACGTAGAATGAATGCTTATTTGAAAATAAAATGAAGAAGGATTCATTGGTAGAACGCAATTTTGAGTCCAAGTAACTTATGGTGACAACATGCTAAAACAAAGTTCGGTAACATTTTTGTGTTTTGAATACAATATTACATGGCACGAACGTCTTCTAAAAAATTAATACGTTGAAAAAAATATCATTTTAAGAGATGAGAATGTTAACTGCATATTTTTCGTTCTTTTTTGTTTGTTCAGCACTTAGTAACACAATCGAACGAAAAATAAGGCAACCCATGTGTCATTTGACAGTACGAAATACGAAGAATAATCAAAATAGTGAAGAAATAATCTTAATTCAAAAATATGTTAATATCATACTCTCATGAGATTGATTTTATCCTGCAGAATTATATTTCACATCAAATCCTATTCACTGTGATGAAGTCAATAGAAAAGCAGTATGGATCAATAGTGAAGCCTTTAATAACTAAATTTTGTTTAGGAAGATAATCGATGCAGACTTGAGGATTAGGGCATCTGGGAGCTGTCTCACGGGAAAAATTGAAAACGAGTCTGATTTTTTGTAAAATTTTAAAAAATCTTAAGGTAAATCCTGGCAGAAATCTTGTTTTTAAGCACTATTGATTATTTTTCTGGAAGAAAAACAAATAGAAAAAGGTTTTCTCAATAGAATATCGCAGAAAGTCGATGAGCTCAGCAATATTTGTTTGGTTGCTGTCAAAAAATGAGATGAGACATTTTCTACTGAATCTCCCACTTTCGAAAAAAAAAAGATTCGACAATCCTGACAAAATGAACAACAATTAAAAATATTGTTTTGGTGAAAATAAAAAAGCTTTTTACCATTGATCAATATTTCTTGAGGGGAAACGTCTGACTTCAAAGCTACATGAGAGACTCTCGATGATGAATATACAAAAAAACAACTATAATTCCATTGCCATTCTCAATCATCTTAATTAACTTGTTACCGCTTTATTTTCAATTGCTTCATCAATGCAAATAGAAAATCGTTCATTTATTAACATTGACAATTTGATTTTATCTAATAGTAAGCTAACTAAACAGTTAATAAAACCTGGTGAGAAAGAGAGAGACCTATATAAATTAAAATAAAGAGAATAAAAAGTTTATTGTCTGCTTAAGTATAGGAGAAGTACTGTCACGAATTGTGACAATATTTCAACACAGAAAAGTTGACATCAAAATGTCACATCATGGTATTTACAATATGTTGATATTGCGTTTTACTTTGGAATAAAATTAATTAATTGGTACCGTAGAAGTTTGTAAAGTGACTAATTAGTGTTTTTTTGTTTATCAATAGATGACCAAATGTAATTATTTTAGCACGTAAGAGAAGTAAAAAATTATAAAAATCATGGTTTTTACATATCGTTCTAAAAAACGATATTTCTTTCAACTATACAAGAAAATTCTTATTACTGAATAGAAAATTTTTTGAATAATGACAAAAATCTATTTCTAGAAAAATAGAGCGAGCGAGATTCTTCCGAAAAAAATCAACATCTTGAAATACGTAACAAAATTTATTTATGATACTAAATATTGTTGAAAGCAATCAATGGTTGCTCAGATAAATATATTAGAGAAAAAATAGCTGAGACTATTTATTGTCCTTTTCTACTTACTACCAAAATTTGACGCTTTCACGGATTGTTGAATTAAATTTGTGCAATTCTCTTAACTCTCAATTAAATTCTTTTGTATACCTTCTCAGACAACTCACTCACACAATGTTATAACCTGGGGGCAATTATTTCTCTGATATCAAGCCGCACACTATGATGCCCATTACTTGTCAACATTGTTTTTCATATAATACGATACATATAACAAATTATGTGTCACACTCACTGTGTTACTCATTTTCCAATGAATAAATCAATCAATATTTCTTTACCAGAAGAAATTGAATTGAAAACTTTCTATTAGCTAACCCGAAAAATAAGAAAATAAAATAGTAATTAATCAGTTCTAGACAAATAATATATATAATTTCGATCAGTATTATTATAAATCAATCAATCAATCAATCTTTACTTGAAAATAAAATCGAAAACGAAAAATCGAGTTTTTGTTGAAGTACAATATTATTTATTCGATTAAATTAAGTGAAAATCTGCTCTAGCTAATGCATTCTGATAAACATAGGAATAGTATTGTCTGCAGAACTAAAATAGTTCTGCTTCAACAATTGATTTAACAGCTATTTTAAAAAAATCTTCAAGTGACCACGATATGCATTTAGTACTCCCTGAGTTTTAGAGAGTTCATTATGAGAATAGCAGCGATTAGAAACACCCATAAGTGACGCCGTTAGCATCATTGAACTCCCGAAAGATTTTTTTTAGAAGTGAAAAAGGTCGTTCTCATTTCTTTTTTCTTTCATGATCTAAAAGCAGAAAAGTTTCCCATTTTTTTTAAATTAAAAATTTTCTAGTAGTAGCTATTATCGTGACTACTCGAAATAGAACATAATTAATTATCTAATATACTACTTGCTGATTGGGGTCGTTACTGCATTAAAAAACAAGAATGGATGTGTTCTTTCATAAAATTATTCAGAGATTTGTATCTTTCCTACTACTGACAGCAGAATGGGTATCCTCGTAGAACAATTACAAAGCTTTGTTAAAGAAGAACTAAAAGTTTTACTTGATTATTCTGAAAGAGCTGCTCCCTCTAAACAAAATAGTAGCAACAGAATAAACGTTAAAAACTTAAATAGAATAAATCAGATTTTGTAACATACAAATATATTTGGCCATGAAGAAATGCGCAGAACAACTTTCAAAAGAGAAACAGTATTTGATGTCTTAATTCACCAAAAATCGACGACATTAAAAAAAAATGTTGTGTCATTATTTGAAATGAACGAATAAAGTTAAATAAATAATTAGCGATAATTTCTCAATCATCAAATAATTGGCTGTACTTCTATTCACTCAACTTCTTCAATACGAAGAAAATTGACAGTAACCAGCACCAAACTATGACAAAATATATTTATAAAAATGGAATAATATCATTTATAATTTTATCTACAGCTTTAACCGAATCGTGTATAGCACGAATGAAAAAAATCATCTCAACGACTCATATAGAAACGTATACACGAAGAGTGAAAATCTTCTAATCACTTTTTTGTATGAATATATGAGAAAATTACGTTGTTCTTTGATTCTCCGGGTAGTGACAATATAGTATTCGTGTAAAACTTTGAAAGTTGAATACAGCCGATTGATATTTATTTTAAATTGTTAAAGAAAAGAGTTATATCAACAGTTTTTATTTTTATGAAAGATACGTATTGGCCTACCGTTTCTATGATATTAGATTATTTAAATGTTAATAGAAGAACAATAAAGTTTCAGTAAAACAAGAATTATTGTTGAGCTGTACGTTATTCATTGTATCAGAATGCTTCCAAGTAGTGATATATAAATGACTCGAGCAGAGGTATAATAGAAGTATTCATGTCAACGACAACAACCTCCGGGAAAACGGATTTTATCGGAAATTGTTGAGATAACGTAGGAAATCACCGTATCCGATCAGAAAATAGCAAAGATTGATTGAAGCTGAAAGTAGTATTCAGGGTTGAAACACCTTTCGATTATTCCGGTTGTTTCAAGTTGTCACCCAACGGAACGAACAGGAAATTGGTCAGAAGCCACAGGAAAAATCCGGGCACCTTCCGGCTTACAATACTACTTTCACGTCCCATCCATTTACAGTTAGTTTTTAGTGTCAAATTAAAAAATTTACAAAGAAAATGGAAGGTTGAATTAGTTATTCACTACAATTGTTTTTGATATGGCATGCAAAGTGAAACCAAGGCTTTTGCAAAAACAATTTTCTTTCTTTCTTTCTATCTATATCTTGTATAAGCTTATTGCATTTTAATAATTTCAATTCAGAAAGTTTAGCTATTAAATTTATAATTTATGCTTTACCATAGAAAACATTTAAATTTGATAAGATAATGTGAAGCTTATTTGAAATAAAATACAAAAACCAAGAACTGACAAATGAAAGAATATGTGGCTGGAAGATACCACTGAGATGACGATAAAAGCAAATACTTGTTATTAACATTAGGAAAAAGAAATTAAAATTACATACTCTGATTCATGAAGATACATTTCTGGATCACCGAATTGTTTTCTTCGATTAAACTTCCTTGGAAGTATTGGGTTCACCAATAGTACGGTAAGTTTTTGGCGTGCAAATACATTAATGCAGATCAATATAAGAGAATTTTCAAGAATAAATGATCGTTAGAGAGAGACGCCAAATATATCATATGTAACCGCATTAATAGCACTGTGCGTCGCGTTTTTAATCATAGATTACAATCGTTTCGTTGTTTATTCTAGTAAAACTAATATTTTCTTATTAACATACAGAATTTAGTTAACATCTAGTAGTCTGATTGTCACACGCATACGCAAGTGGCATTCAAGTATTTTCCTGTAAGTTACGTTTGTTATTCTGCTGGCATGATTTATCAATCTATGTTCTCGCAAAAACAATTTTCTAAACTAATTTTACCTAAGACTCACTAGGTCGGTTATGTCTACTATTACCTGTACGATTGTTAAACACATTGACTTCGTGTATACCTTAAGGGCCCAAATAGTTAATCAATTTCAAAGACTACTGATGCATATATTCGATTGTTCAGTCTATATTCATTTAGTAGTGTTGTTAATGATAGCAGCAAGCTTTCGAAGATTTCTTAGAAAACTCTCTCAACTAGAACAGCTACTCGTATAACAGCAACGAAACAAAGTCTAAATAGTACAATGATAATAATGCTTGGGAAATTATCTAAAAGACTGTAAAAGTTTGAAAACGCAAGTTTCAATTCTTTCCAGACATAGATACGGAGGAGCTGATAAATTCAGAATAATAGTAGAAAGAGTTTCTGGAGTTCTTTTTCAATTTAATATTTTTATATTTACGCCAAGATACTACTACTATTACTACTACAAGACAATAAAAAAAAGTAAAACTAGGCCATCAGACAAAACGAAAGTAGCTGTTACCTTATGATATCTATGATGTGTATCAAAATAAACGAAAAGAATTCTTTGCAAAACTAATTACTTCGCATCATTTACGTTCTTAAAACCTGCACAAAAATATATATTCCTTTATTAGGTTACTATTTCTGATATGAATGTACACGAAAAATACGTACGAGTATTTGTGATGTTAAATATCCTAAAAGATATTGCATACTTTTATAAAAAAAAGTCGAAAACATGTGGTTAAATGCGAGTATTATTGTTTTGAATTGTTGGGGAAGTATGAAAAATAGTTCAACTAACATGTACAATTCCATATGATCAACTTAAGCTTTCGTATTTTATTTTACTTTTACTATTGATACCCTACAGCCAGGTCAACTAAATAAACACAAGCTCATTTAGTAGATTCAAAAGAAAATGCGTTGAAAACTTATAAAGCTTGATTATCATACTATGAACACACACTTATGCAACAGCCTTCAGTGCTAAAAGTATAGAAAGTAAATATTGACAGTACCTTTTTCTCTTTCTTTCTTTCTTTTTTTCTGATTATACACGTAGTTTTCTTTTTGGTCGCCTAGACAGTACACAACGCTTATTTTTTGAATAGGGATCGAGAGTAAAAGTTTTTCGAATAATCTTTGATATGAACTCAAAATATAAATATATTTGCGCAATTTCAATTTTAGTTCATACATGATATTATGTAAAAAGCATGTAGACAAAGTAGTTTCTTTTTATTTGAACATAGTTCTATGTTTGTGCTCGAACTCAATATTTATTGTGTACTTACTAGTCGTGTCTGTCATCAAGTTTAAAGACTGAACCAACTTATGGTTAGTTTTATGATATTTTTGATGAAGAAGCATAATGAAATAATTTCTTTGATATACTGAAGTATTTGAATTTATTCGAAAATGAATTATCAACCAAATAAAATGTTCATGTTTAAATCACAACGATGGACTATAGTGTGTTGCTGATAAGTTGAGTAGATAGTGAACTCAATCACGTAAAATACCAGTAGGCGTTCAAATAAATCGTATGCCTATTAATATTTATATGCGTAATATGTACATACATACATATTTTCTATTAGCTATTCAATTGTCAGTGTGTTTTATCTGAAAATAGACCAACGAGTTGGTTCTTTTGTTAGGAATTTTATCTTCCTAACAACAACTACAACAATAAAATCTGCCTAAGTATACAAAATGAAAACGACAATAATTCTCTAAATGTGTAGTAGAAACTTTACTCGACCATCGACGAAAGTATGATAATAAAAACTAACTGAACAAGATCTTGAATGCCTTGAAATTGTACCACGATGACATTGAATATTAACAATACTCAGTGCACGTGACGACTATTTCTTTTTACCGATCTTGTTCTAGGTCGCTGTTTGATTATATACCTTCGCTCACGGCTATTATCACATGTCGGTGACATATCATATATACAACGCATATATTGATTTTTATAAAGATAAGAAATAATTGTGTAGGTTAATGGAATCTCGTAAAAACATGAAATAAGAATAGCAAAAAAAAGTCGTATCAAAAAAGGTATCTCAACATTCATAAATCTCACGCCAATGTTTGCACAACAAGAGAAACTTCTATAAACCTAACTATATAGACAAAAACAAAAGCCATGTAATTGCCTAACCAAGAGTAGGCTAGGTGGGTGTTGTCTTGCCAATAATTGTTGTTCCGCGACCACTATAATAAAGAAAACTGTAATAGTTGTTCAATGATTAATTATAGGATATTGATTTCCTACTGATGATCTCTTGGTTACATCAACATTTTAATATAGAGCGTAATTATTCAAGTTTACTAATAATCCGATGCATTTTGTTGATAAATACAAGAAAAGATTTGTTTTGACCGAGTAAAATTCTATTTATTAGAACGAATTTCACAATCTATTCACGTTTGTTCTAAGATATTGCTGACAAATGAGGCTATAGATGAATCCTTCTCGATTCGAATTGAATACAAATAATTAGATAGCAGTTTTTATTACCGGTAAGTTTCTTGCATTTTCAATAGTTTGAGTTGATACTAATAATAACAATATGAAAATAATGAATTTGAAATCTATTTTAATTGTTCTATATTTTACAAAATTGCAGCCATTTTTAAATATGATTAACATAACTCAACGTTCTTTTAAATAATCGGAATGTCTGAAAATTTACTATTTAGTAGAGATCTACTCAAAATAGCTTGGAAATAAAATCATCATTTTTCTAACGTACAGTTTAACAACATAGTACAAAATCAACTTAACTTAAAAGTTGTTGGCAATCTGCTTAAAAAAAATCAATCGTTAACTGGGTCTTTGTACAGCAAAAACATACACATGTTCTTGCCAACAAGTTTATGAAGAGATTCGTATGAATTTTCTTCTTAAACGGAGTTTCACTCGAATCCTCTTGTCGAATGAATGAGATCAAGTTCATTTTATTGTTTTTATCTGTTTGATTTTTCCATGAATACCATTTTTATCATTAAAATGTCACTTTCATCTTTATTTTGGTTGCAAAATGAGATACTCAGTGGTTTGACTTACTTCATTTACGTTTTCAAATAGTCTAAGATATTAATATTACATATAAACACAAATACAAGAATTTTCAATAGAAAAATAGCGAAAAGAAATATTCACTGAACTTTAAGATAAATAAACGATCCTTGAGATACAGAAATGCAACGAGTAAAAAAAATCATTATTTAACTAAACAAAACTTTTGTCTGTTTTAACTTTTTTGCTTGGTTGATGAAAACATACTTTTGATTTAATGAAATCCCCATCTCCATCGTCATCATCATCATCATCGTCGTCGTCATCGGATAAAATAATAACTTTTTGTGTTCGAAATAGATCAATTTTTTGTGGTAATATTGGTGATGAAGATGTCGATACAGCACGTTGCGAATGAAACCTTTTGATAGGTGTCTTTTTATGGCGTTGCACACGATTTCGAATATTCTGATGATTAGAAGATGTTTTTGGATCTATTGCTTTTTCTTTTTGAGTTTCATTATTATTTTGAGATGGTATTGACGGAGGAGTCATACATAGTTGACGTTGAGCCACATATTTGCCAAAAGCTTCTTGTTTTATTGAACTAGGCTGATTTTCTTTGGCACTTTCATCATCACTTAAATCAGTGATTTGCCATTCTCGATGGGTAGGCTTGTTCTCTCCGATTGTCTTTGGTAGTTCTTAAATAAACAAATACCGTTAGCAAAAACCTTGTAAGAATGAAATCAGGGAAATACGATGTAGCTGAAGACTAATCTCTTCAAACTGTATCCTCCAGAAATCTAATCAGAATATGGTTGAAAAATTGCAATGAGAGATCATTCATAATTGGTTTGAAAAGCTGTAAATTCCTGTCCACAATATATTTTAACACTTGCTGCTCCTCATATTTCACGGCAGGAGGGAAAGCGTTCTTTTCCGATTTACCTTTGATTGAAGGAAAAGCAAAAGCAAATCGACGTTGTTCTTCTTCACTTAACTTTTTCTCTGAGTTTTGGTTTTGTTCATCTTGAGTTAAATTTTTCTCTGCTTCTTGATTTTGTTCTTTTTGTTCATTTTTAAGTCTTTCGATTTCAACTGACTTTTGCATATGTTCAACGAATTTTTCTAAAGCATTCATTGTATCATCATATTTACGTGATATACAAAGACGTTGTTTAATCCATAAGGATATTTTATTATTAAAATGTTTATCGCTCATATTCTGAACAATTCGTTCATCAACTATCTAAATAGAAAAACAAATAAAATTTCATGTCTAATCAACAAATCCAATTTAAAAGTATACCACTAATGCTCCCCAATCATTTTTATGGCGAATACATCTTCCAAGTGCTTGATTTAATGCACGATATGCTTGAGAATCATACTTAAAAATGAGAATTATTAAAAGCAAACTTGAAAAAATCTAAATAAAACTAACCCAATCGCTACCATTCATAACTTGTGGCATACGCTTATTTTGTTCATTATTGTAATTACGTTTAAAAACAACTTCTTCATCTTGTACATTTGGATATGGTATTCCAAGTGTTATAACACAACGTGCATTATTATCCGAAAAATCAATACCTTCAGATGCACGTCCACGGCAAACAGCTAACAAAAGACCACCTTTAACAGGAACATGTTGTAAATCTGCTAATGATGAAGCGCTAGGTACAGTTTTTCTTTTAAACATTGCCTTGACTCGTTTAGCGGCAGCTGTTAATGACTTATCGATTTGTAATGTTCCATTTGCTTCACGAAATCGATCTTGAAATTATTTATACTATTAATTGTAAATTATAATATATAGATAAATCTTACTCATTGTATTCTGAAAAGTAGCACTACTTTTTTCTTCGAAAAATACTGCTTTATGTTCATTTAATTTTTGCCAAAGTCCACTTGCCATCCAACGGCTCATTATAACATTAAGAAATCGATACGATGGCAGAAAACAAAGTACACCATAAGGAACACGTTGACAAACATCGAGTACAATAAGACCACATTCATCCTTTGCAAAAACAAAAAGTTTTAATAAAGAAAATAAACAACAACTTGTTTACTTGAAATTCGATTTTATCTGTATTTTGATATGTTGCTCGTAATTTAACGTTAGGATTTCGTCCATGACTTAATGCTGTCATAAATGTACGGTCTAGGTCAATAACATGATTACATTCTAAACAAAATATTTCGTTGTATTTGGCAAAAGCTAAAAAGTTTCTTGTTTTCTGCTTTACCCATTTGAATATCAAATGGTATTTTCAATTCACCAGCATAAGTTGCTAAGGGCGCAAGTGTGCCGGAAGCAAAGATTAAACTTTAAAAAATAATGAAGATACTTAAATAGTTCCGTGGTAGTCAAACTAAATATGCAGTAACTTACGATCGAGCTAATCTTAGATCTTTAGCAAATGCAACACTTGGTGATAAACAATAAAATATTAATTGTTGTGTATGAATAGGATAAGTTGTTTGAGTTACATTTGGCTGATATCGTTTAAACTGACTTGATTGTGAACGCTTATCAATCCATTGATTGTCCTCCGCATCTCCTGTTGAAATTTGTGGTCGTTGTTGCATTTGTGCAATTGCACTTGCGCTTGGTTCAAAAGGAATGGTTTTCAATACTATTTTGTATTCATCGGCAAATTGATAATCATCAGCATATAAAATTGATAAACAGCTAAAGAACAAAAAGTAAGAATTTTAAAAGTATGAATAACTTGCATCTACGAGGAACTATAACGTCAATACTGCCAGTGCCTCTATAGATTAGGAATTCTTGTGTCTCGGCTTTTAAACACTACGAATTTGATTAATATCATGAAGACACCTCGCACATGGTTCACATCATTTTCTCTTTTCTTTTGGTTCCAGCAGGACTGTTTTTATAGACGTTTTCGAATAAAATACTATTGTTTCCGTCAGTTTAATTTCATATATTCTTAAATCCTATAAAAATGATGTTAGTTGTGTGCTTTACATAGGATAATTGTCAATATTAGCCCACAAATTCAAAGTATATGCGAATGTTTGACAATTAAACACTGACTAAAGTGGTAACTCAGATAATTTGCAGAGAGTTGAAACGTAGACTGAGATTTTGGTGGAAGCTCGAGAGTAAAATCAGTTGATTACTTCAACCGGGATATATCATTAGAACAAAATAAAATGAACATCATCCTTGAATGATACTATGTAAAACCAAAACAATTATCATCTCTTACAGATCAAAATCTTCTAAAAATTTTACAGTTTCATCTGAAAATTTGACATAATCTGGCTTATTTAAAAAGCCTTTCGATAATGCTTTTCGTACACGAACAGCATCTTTAACAACACGATGTCGGGTTGCTGCTGGCCGATTTTTTCTAAACCAGAAAAATACTTTATCGATCTATATTATTAAAAAAATTAATTTAACATACACTGCCGGTTTATGAACATCAACAACAGATTGATCGATAAATTTCGCTTGATGAAATTGTTCAATAAGCTGTTTGGGTGTAAATGCATATTTTTCACGTGGATCTTTTTCATCGAACCATAAAATAAGTCGAGAAAATCGTTCAGCAAGAAATTTCACTGCATTAGCAAAATCAGCATATTCAGATGTTACTTTATCATTTGTTTCGGGTATTGTTTCATGTTGATTTCCATGTTGATCAATACGTAAATGGTCAAGTAAATCGGTGTCGTCATTTAATTCATCATATTCAGAATAACCAGACGCGCGATGTGTTGATTCTCGTTGAGAAGATGTTAAATGCGATGAAGACAATGGTTCTTGTGTTAATGCAAAGCCTGATTCATTTACAATTAATTCAGCTATTTTGATTTGTGCTAGATCTAGTACTTTTTGATTTGTGCATAGTTCCTGTAATGCTTGTTCAAAATCATATTTTCGTACTTCAAATTTCATTGATTCACGAGCACAATCTTCTATGTTATGTGCTAGAAAAATATAAGAAACTTGTTAGTAACATCAAATAAATGTCATGCTTTTGTGTGAAGCACGATTTATAATAAAATTTTGACCTGCTAGAATCTATCCACGCTTTTGCAAAGCATAACTTTTTTGTTATGCGATGAAATACCGTATTCAGGGATGTGCCTATGGGGCGTACAGGGGTGGGGGGTTCAGCCCCCCCCCCCACTTTTGAAAAGTAGTGGTTTCTTTAGCAAAATTGTTGTAGAACTTTTACTATAAAATCTGGATATTACAAACTATCCTGAGGGGGAGTACAGGATTCTATACGTTNCCCCCCAGTTTTTTCCTTTCGGCACATCCCTGACCGTATTTCAATAACGTTTCGCTCAAGTATCTAAACATTTTTCTAATTACCTTCATCAATAATTATAATTGCATTAGTTATTGACACTTGCATTGAATTACGTACACGCGGATCAATAAGATAATTATATGGACAAAGAATAAGTTGTACATCATTTATTAATAAACGGCTGGTATAATATGGACATACACCATGGCTGTTTTGGCAATGATCATTAAATTGTTCAATATCAAAAACACGTGGTAACGGTTTTGCAAATGGTCGTAAAAAATCATTGGCTACTTTGCCTCGTAAACGTTCATAATAGCCGCATTCACTGTTTACTCCTTGTGTTACGGATCGATCGTGATTATGGCGGGTTATTTTAGCACATTCATGACTTTTATTTGGCCCTTTTGATATAATTGGATGTATACAATAATTATCACGTGATGATAATAATGTCATACGAATTTTATCTTTATATACTGTATTATTAAGTTGTTTAGCTATTTGTTCGAGTTGTTTATGTGTGCGAGTACAATAAAATATACGCGATACTGGTGTTGGTTTTGTTTGTGCTTCTGTTGCATTATCTTTATTTTCAATGAATGGTGTAGACATTCGAAATTGTTCAATTTCTTTTTGTTGCCAAGCTAATGACGCACATAGAAGAGTCAAAGTTTTTCCGGTACCGGTCGGTGATTCAAGAAGACAATTTTTTGATTGTTGTAAAGCTTTAATTATTCGGGCGAGCATTGCTATTTGGCATGGATAAGGTGTATAAGGAAAATCGACAGTGACACCTGGAATAAATATAACAATTACTTTTTTCTATATCGAACTACGATGAATTTTATTAGAGATCATTTTACGTAATAAAAAAAAGGAGAGTCACTATTGATTCTGATCTCACAAAAGTCATTGCTGAGTTGATATCTGTCCCATCTAAACTAAATCTTTTAAACTAAGTTTTTAATTTATGCCATTGATAGCTAACCCTTTTTACGGGTTATCTTTCTTAAATTAGCTTTTCATTGATAAGCTAATTAAAAGTATAAAATCTTCAATGCCGCTTTGAACAATTTGTTTTCTCGTAATTTCACTTCCTGGTAAGGGTAAACGGTGTCCACATAGTCCCACCTCCACACATCTCCGATTAGAATAATCATATTGTTTAATAGTGAATAGCATAATCATGCTAGATAAACGTTACCTGACATAAGCATTGTTTCGGGCTTCATATTGTTCGCCATTATTTTTCATTCAACACTGGAATAAAATCATTATCTGGAAATATTCATCTATTTCTTTGTCTTCTGTTGTTTTTTTATTTATACAATTTTTGTTAAATATATGACTAGTTCAATTTAAGCAAGAAAAATTGAAGATAATAAAAAAAAATAATTTACAGAAAAAAAAACGAAAGCTAAAATTATGATACATTCAAAGAACAAAACAAGTTACGATTTACTACGAAAGCACAAAACAAGATCACCACCTCCTTTCCACATGAAATGTTTAACAGTTCTTAAATCCATTGATAAATCCAAAATCTGTAGAAGAAAGAAAAATGAAATAAATTTTCATTTTGAAAACTAATTTTCTTACTTGCTCTTGACATAGCAATTCAATATGATCAATACTTTTACTAATATCCGATTCACGTTGTTGTTCACCATTACCGTCTTGCTGATCTGAAAGCAAAACAAAATTTTTACTTCATTTTTAAGTTCAGTTTAACAATGGAAGTTTGTTACTCGATCCACTTCCAGCTAATCCCGTCGATAACGTTTGTTGCTGTGTCTGCGTCTGTGGCTGTTGTTGTTCGTTAAGAATATATCGTTCATAAATATATTCGATTACTTTTCGTACAATCATCATATCACTCGCCGATAGTCGATCTCTGAAAAGCAGAAAAACATTATATTTAAAAATAATGTTGAAACTCAAAATTATAGTCACTGACTTCTTATTAAATTTTGTACTAGTGATTTGATGATGAAGAATAAATGGAATTTTATTCAATACAGGAACTTGATGCTAAATGGGAAAAAAAGGATTAATAGAGGAATAAAACATTTCTAATGATTAACTAACTTTAACAATAACATTAGTTATAAATTGAGGTAAAACTTCATGTAGAAAACTTTGTTCAGGTTCACCACAGGTTTCATTGCAACGAAAACGATAAAGTGTTCGACCGCCAATTTCGCTATTATGAAAATAGAAACAAAAGAAAAAGATTCAAGTCGACTGCAGTTTGTTACTATAATGATCAATAAATACCCAAGAAAGATAGGTGTATGACCAGGTATATGACAGAGATTGTCTAAATGTACTCGTTCTGCATAGTTATCATTCGCTTCTAGAACACAAAGAAAAAGAATTGATTTAATCAAAGAAAAACAAAAAGTCAATTCAAATACCTAGAGCTTGTTTTGCTATTGGCCAATGCTCAAAAAGTGAATGTAACATTAAAATACCATAATTTTCTAAATAAAATAGCAATGCATTTGAATTCAATGGGTTTTTTTTTCAGATGAGTATAAAAACAATATCACAAGACTTCTCTCGTGTTTTTCGAAAAGAATTAAATGTACAATAACTCTATGAAATTTTCGTTCTCAATAATTATCAAATGACTGTCCAATCCTTAATAGATATGTGATTCTAACAGGACAAAAAAAACCTATTCATCTATATTGATAGTTTACCTTTAAGATCAACTGTTTCATTGTTTCCAGCTGTGTTAGTATCGAATACTTCTTTAACAGCAATCCAAGAAGCAAAAATATCACTCTCTTCAAGTGTAATTGTTAAAATCTGCATGAAAGTTAGATTTTCAAAAAAAAGATTTTTCGATTATTTAAGTAAAATAATATCTACTTACGCCAACTTTAAGATCAACACAAAACCAATTCGGCACAAATATAGTTTTCGTACGTTTTCGTATCTCTTCCTCATAATCACATTTACCAAGATTTTCAATCATTTTAGCCTATGAATACAAATATTTAATCATAATGAATTCAAAGATGTTTCTTTTTTAATTTAAGTTACTTGTAAAACGTCGTAAAGAGCAACATTACTATTCGAATCTTTTGTTATAATATGTCGTTTATCTGATAAAATATGATAATGTTTGATTGCTGGTCCACCTTGTATAATCATATCTGGTTGTTTACAAATTACTTCGCCATCGTAATACGTCGTACGAGCTAATGTTGCAAGACTTTCTTTTAAACTCTAATAAAAATATTTAAAAAAAAAAAAGTTTTCATGTCTATTTAATACACCAATCATATTATACCCAACAACGTATATTTGATTCTGTTGTTGAAACCCATAATTGTTGTTGTTCTTTGCCAAGTTCAAGCTTAAAATAGTTTCTTTTTGTTCAATATTTAAACAAATAAATAAACTTAACAGATTCAAACAATTTCCTTTCATACTATATCGTTAGTCTGCATATAAGCTGAATAAAAAATTAAATTACGCGAAAGAATCATCATTGTTTCAGAAAATAGTATCTTTATTATTCGACGAAACAAAAAATTCATAATTTTCTAAAACTTCATCGAATAGTTTCCAGAATTTTACGCAGAATCCTGTTCTGTATTTTATCATTTAAAAGAAGAGAAGCAATCCTAAAAGATAGACTTAATTTTTACTCTAACGTTCTCTTTTCTTTGTAAATATTTAGCATGCATTCTATACATTCAATTGACAAGTTCAAATCACAGTAGTCATGTAAAAGCTGCCATCTACAACTATTTCCTTACTCGAAGAACAGGTTCCGTTTCTTGACAAACACAAACACTACGTGATGTATCTGCGAGATCAGTAACATAAACACGTCTATCACGTCCACTTGAATAAAGTCTTGTAAATGCTTCATTGGCCTATGAAAAGAAAAATATCTATTAATCTTAACAAAAAAAACGAAAACGTTCTCGAAATCATACACATAATGTCCATACAGCATCTGAATGTATATGAAGTTTAGTGATACATCTTTGCTGTCCAAGTGACCATATACGTATTGAATGATCAGAACTAGCTGATATACACTAAAACGTAAAAGAATTTCTACATTTTTCTATACAAAATTTTCTTTTATACTTGTGTTCCATCTCGATTTAAAACTAATGCACGAATATTATCCGTGTGTCCTTTTAATTTCATCAGTAATGTGCATGTTCTTGGATCATACACACGTATCTAAACAATTTAGGACAAATAAATTTGTTTTGTTTTTTCGACATAGAATGAAAACATACCACATTCTCAGGAGAGCCACTAGCTAAAACTGTACCTGATGGATTCATCGCTAAACTATACACGGAATGTTCATTGCCAGTGAATGTTGAAGCTAACATTTAGACGCATAGAAAAATAATTCAGTAGAAGAACAATACAATTTATTACTTGTTACTGTATTATTTATAGCCGTCAACGCAGTTAATACGTTAACATCCCATAGGAATATGTTATTATCAAAACCTCCACTTGCAACTTGTTCTTTATCTTTCGCATATGCCAAACATTTAACAAAATCCTTAATGTTGAAAAATTAGATATTTATTTGTAGAAAATAAAAAGTAAAAGCAATTTTTTTCTTTACTTTATGTGTTCGTAATGTTGACATGCATGTTCCCTTTGGTGCATTCCATAATTTAATGGTTGCATCACTTGATGCCGAAAGTACTTTAAAAATTAACAATACAAGAATAAACAATCTTTTTTAAAAGCAAAATTCTCTCTTACTATGCTTTCCAGAATTAACAAGAACAATATCATTTACCCAATCTGTATGATGTTCCATTGAATATTCATACATATCGGACTGAAACAAATTGTTTTAGAGATTTAAAAGAAAACATAAAACTAATAAAAATCTTACGCCATAACGTTTACAGTCCCATGCTCGAATGATTGAATCGCGTCCAGCTGTGTACAGTCGATCGTTTTTTGCATCGTAACGAAGTGCATTAATGCCTCCACGATGCAACCGTTCATTTTCATTTCGTATAAGAAATGATAACTAAAGAAATGAAGAGTTTAGTCTTTTGCTTTCTATTCAGGTTGAGTGTCCGTTACTTGAACGCGTTTTTTCTGCATTGTAAAATCTTTTTAAAACGACATTCTTTATTTTTTTTTCTCGAATCTGAAGATACAAGAAAATATGTGTTAATAAAGTTAATAGTTTCTTCGGTAAACATATGAGAAACTGTTCAAAGAACTAAATTATCTCTCAGCCAGATGAATGATCACCGAAGCATCCTGAGTTTTTCAACAAACCGATCAAATCCGATAACAATAATATTAATCATCTACTGAGAATGTACGAAAAATCTTTCAAATTGAATATTGACTTCGATACATTTTCTTTAGTTTTATTCGATATTCCTTTGTATATTTAGTACATACAGTGTTAACGAATCAGATTAATCACATTTTGAAATATACATGTAAGTATTTTTACCGGCGCTAGTACTGAGCATTATAACAGAATTCAGTGAGTCATACAAAAATTTCGATATGTCAAATACGTCAGTTTCTTCACAACATGTTTCCTTAGATTCTTAGATTCAACATTTAATTACAAACACTTGAAACAGTAATGACAATGACAACCATGTACAACAACACTTAAGAGAAAAATCGAAGAAAACAAACAATAGAAAGCTCACGTGTATACTTGGAATTGTTCAACAAATTATTTACGTTCTTTTGGAATACTCTTTATTTACATATATATATATATATATATTAAATTGAACCGAAAGTAAATGTTTCTTCGACTTTATCTTCTTTTAATGCGATTTTATTTTATTTAATCTAAATGAATGAAGAGAAAGAAAATGTTTTTTGTTTTGTTTAAATCTTTTCAGTTTATGTTTGTGTGTAGATTTATTTCAAAACAGTCTGATCTTTTACAATCAAAACAATACACACAAAGTAAAACAAGAAAAGTTCTTATATGTATATTATTTTTTTTATTTTCGTTAAATCTTCTTCTTGTCTTGAGCACATGATATCGATTTTATTTTTTAAGTATTTCTTTGATGTGCTGCTTCACGAGCTTTAAGACGTTCGAGTCGGTTAATGCGTGCTTGTGATTTGTTACCTAAAACACCACCACCCCAATGACGACGTAATTCATCATAACGATCATTGAAGTTAGTTTTAACTGCTTCAACTAATTTACTTAAACCAGATTTATCTTCAGCATTAACATCGGTTAAAGCTAATGATGAACAAGTTTTTAAATGAACAAGACGGCCAAGTCGAGATTTGCCTTTAACAATACAATATGGAACGCCCATTTTACGGCATAGTGTTGGTAAATGAAGAACAAGTTCAATTGGTTCAACATCATGAGCAATAATAACCTGAAATAAAATACACGATCTATCTCTCGATATGCATTCTTTTCTGTTTTTCCTACCAATTGTGCTTTCTTTTTTTCGACTAATGCAGTAACAGTATTCATTCCACTGCGAAGACCGTTTGGTCGTTTTGTTGGTTTGTCTGGTTTACCGGTTTTAGCTTGTTCTTCGGCACGGAGTTTTAAACGAAGTTTTTTTTCTTTTTTCGTTTCCGGACGATATTTCTCAAGTAATTTGAACAATTGTGTTGATGTTTGTTTATCAAGTGCTTGGGTAAATTGATTGATTGGTGGTGGAACTTTCAAACGTTTAAGTAAAATACTACGTTGACGTTGAACACGAATGTATTGTGGCCATTTAACAAAACGTGTTAAATCACGTTTATGTTGAATATCTTATAAAAAAAGAAGAATTTTAAAATAGCGAATATGAACTATTAAAAAATTTCATTATTTATTTACCTTGACCAATACCAAAATTTTTTGCGCGTTTTTCATATAATGGATTGGTAATTTTTTTACTTTCAGCTTTTGACTTGAGTGGCGCAGCGGCGATTTTCTTTTTGCCTTTTCTAAGTGCACCACCTGTTGTTTTACCTGTTGCAGACGATTTTGTTGTTGTCGCCGTCTTTGTTGTGGTCGTTTTCTTTGTTGCCGATGTGCTACCTGTTACAGGAGACATGATTGAAAATGATTAAAATATTCAATCTGAAAATCGAAATATAAGTTATAGTCTAGATAAGCTTTTATGAAAGTTTAGCTTTTCATAATTGTTAGGTTCCTGAAAAAAGATATGTTGAATCTTCGTTTGTGTTCAATTATCTTCTCATATGTATTTTTTTCTACTCGTAGACTTAATCTGTCAAACTAGGACTACATTCAATCCGAAATAGAATATCGATTTCTTGCTTTTGCCATAAGCACCAAACAAGATATGCTATATGCTACAGCTTGATCAGTGTACTAGGAAACAAATAATCTGAAACGGCAGTCAACATAGCGTCATTTCATTTTTATTTTATTTCATTGAAATACTTCAGTATTGCTGTTATAAATGTACTAGTAATATGTTTGCTTTTGAGTCTAGATATTTCCAATAAATACGACTTGAAATATACATAGAATACTAGTTAATATCTGAAATTAAAATAATCAAAATCAATAATCTGCATATATAAACATGGAAAAAAAGCACACATCAATTAAAATCACATATGAATAAATAAAAGTTGATTGCATCAATAAATAGAAGAAAAAAATTCAGCTGTGAATGTATATTCGTAGTTTAATTGCTCGTTTTTATGGATAAGTACTGATTTTCATATTGATATTTTTTATTTAATTCATCAAATAATTCATAATCAACATTGTCATTAGATTGCTTTTTATTATTTTTCATCCATTCTTCAATTTCCTCACAGGTACGTGGAACTTTTGTTAACAATTCGCATCCATCTTTTGTTATAAAAATATTATCTTCGATTCGTACACCCCCAATATGTAAATATTTATCAATTTCTGTCTTATTTAAAAATTTACTTAGTTGTTCATTTTTGTACGCATCATTTAATAATGCTTGATTAAAATAAATGCCTGGCTCAATTGTTAGACACATACGTTCTTTTAATAGACGATTTGTTCGTAAAGATTTTAATCCAGGTAATGTCGAACGTGTATGAGGTTCAAGATAACCACCAACATCGTGTGTATCAATGCCAAGCATATGCCCAAGACCATGTGGCATAAATATAGCACCTAATCGAGTATCCATCATTTCTTCTATATCACCTTGCACAAGTCCAGCTAATTTTAAATGTTCAAGTTGTGTACGTTCAGCTAATAGATGCATATCAATCCAAGAAACATTGGGCTGAACACTTTTCATTACTTGACGATTAGCATCAAGAACGGCTTCGTAAATAATTCGTTGTTCTTTGGTAAACGTACCCGACACTGGAAATGAACATGTTATATCAGATGCATAGCAACAATATTCACCGCCCATATCAAACAAACACATATCATTCGCTGTTAATCGACGATCGTTCGGTGCACCGGCATGACCATAATGAAGTACAGCAGGATTTTCGCCAGTAGCACATATACAAGTATAAGACATATGACGCATAGCACCATAACGATGACAATAATATTGAAATAATGATTCCAGTTCATACTCGTACATGCCTAAAGTGAAGTAATATTGATTTTAACTATGATTTGTTTTTCAATACAATTATTGCTGATTACAAAGTTTCTCTACGAAACAGATGCTATCTTCAACGATCAAATTATTCTTGAATCGAGATTATATACATTTTTGCTTCGTCCCAATGAGCTGCGACTCTCTTTAAAAGGAAAAACTTTGATTACCAAAATAGAACACTTTTAGTTATTCTATCGAAGTCACTTTTAGGGATACGAAATTTTTAATTTTCATTTAAATATTTATATTGAATATTTTTATCTCTATGTTTCTTTGTCAATGTCCTAAGAAATTTATTTTCATATTCACCAAATTTTTACCTACCATCCTTAATATTGAGCATAACAAATTTATGTGCTTCAGAGCTCATCTTATTGGTGTATCTCATAACATTCAATTCTAAATCTGTTTTCAAAACTCGGCATTCACTAATAACTGGATGTAATGTTGTTTTATCAACATGAAATTTTTCAATGCCATCAAAATGAGCAGCCTTTGATTCTGTTCCACTATCAGTATTTAAGCCATTTAGCACAAGAATTAATTTTGATGCACCAACTAAATCACTAAAGACTTTTTCTAACTCATCAGCATAGTAAACATGATCAACATGATAGATTTTTTTAAATTCATCAGTTTCCTTGATTTTACCCATCCAAGCAACATAGGATGGTGGCAAACGTGGAATAAATAATATGGATTCATTATTTTGAACATTGATTGCACCATAAAAATCTGGTTCTATAACACCGAATGCCCAATGGAAATAAGATTCTTGACGAAATAATGGTTCATGATCACTACAATAACGCATTTCACTTTTACCACCTTGTAAAAGAACAAATGAATCTGGTGGTAATGTTCGATGACAGCGTAATATTTCACATAAACGTTGACGATTTTCTTTAAATAATTCCATAGGCACTTTAAGCGTTTGGCCACCTTTCCAAAAATGATCTGAATCGCTAAAAGTCACCATGATTTAATTTTGTCGACAATAACTTAGTATCAACAAAAAAGAAACTAGAATATTTGCCTTTGAAAATAAACAGTGTGCTCTCTATGAATCCATATCCAATGTTTATCCATTGTTATTTTATACTTCAAATCTTTATTGATAGGCAGTAAAAACGATGAATGCAATTTACCTCCTTGAATCGCTTCTTTTTCACGTTAACCTCGTGATAAATTTTTTTAAATATACTAATAACAGAAGACTTTTTTAAACAGACAAAAACCTGACATTTTATCGTTTTATATGAAAGGTGTCGCTAGAAATCGATGAACACTAACATTAGAATTTTTCTAGATTCATCTCATATCTTGCACTAACAAAAGGTTTTATAGAACTCAACAGATATAACTATAAAGACAAATTCTTGTTGTGAACTTTTTCCGTTTGTAATTCAAAATCGAACTTCAACACACTATTTTGTATGAAAATATATCGTCAAAATGAACTTGAAACCTAATAGTGTCTCTCATATTTATTCGATATAGACATTAATCAGCACACTTCATGAAGGTGTAACGTCTGCCGCTGGTAATCTGTCATCTGTATGAGCATCCAAGGAAAGGTCATGTTCGCTTAAATGATTGATAAGTGATAATATTTACGAATAAAAAAAACCCTAAATACAAAAGCAGATTATACGGCATAAATCATGCTCTGCTTATTTCAGTAGGCTTTATTTATGCTATTTGTATGAACTAGTGACGTAAGCACGGTTGAGTGCTACTGTAGCTATCAGAATTGTTGTTTTAACCATCCGACAGTTTACAAAAAGGATACTTAACCTCAAGAGGTAAAAAGTGAAACGAACCCAACCCATTAGTGTTCTGTTTTTTTTTTTACACTTTATAGTAGTCGCAACTTGAACCATGCGTTGATTGAGCATCCTATTGTTTGTTTCTTAGGAAAAAATGAGCTCTACTATATTAGTAACAACTGATATACAATTGTTTCATCAGTAAATTATACGTGTAGTAATTTTACAAGTAAACAAAATTTTTAGAACTGAACCTATATAAACTTGATACTTTCATTGCATTCAGACTTGATGATTATGAAAAAAGAAAGTGCTAATGTTCAGTTAGCATTTGACTAATGTTAAAAGAAAATAAAAGCAGTTGAGTATGGTGGATCGATTAATGATGTATCTTTCATCGATAACAAAATCAATTAATAGTACTTGCTGTTTGACGATTTAACCTAGATGATAACAGAATCTAAAAAAAAAGAGTCTATATTAATCTTTCATATGTCAGTCGTTTTCTTTCCACAGATGAATCGCAAGCTCAGTCGAGATTATCTTTGAATAGAATAGACACTGATAAGAATTTACTTGTTCTTAGTTAGCATATTCAATGGTTCCATTCTAAAAACATTTATGAGCAACAACTCGTATATTCAAATATTGTTATTTTAGTTCTCAACATGTCCCCACTTTATTAACTATAATAAGCAAAATCAATTCTCTACACAACAAAATTCTTCTAATATCAATTATTGGAATCTATATGGTATATTCAATTAGTATTATCTGGAATTTTATAAACAAAAGAAACACAATTGTAACTTGCTAGAGTAAGTAATAAAATTCACTAGAGACAAATTTCAAATTGCTATAACTAATGTTTAAGGTACCAGTAATGAAAATAGAAAAGATCTTAGATCGATACTGTTGAAGATGCTGATAAAAATCATATACATTTATGTACTCGCTTATTTTTTGGTCATTATTGAAACTATAAAAATAGAACTTTACACTATTAATTTTATTCTATTGACATTGTAATCAAGTCATAGCCGTAGAGATTCTTAAAAGACAACTAAAGTTAACTAGAAAGGCTCCGAATGAGGATTCAATAAAAGCATGAATCTATTTTAAGAAATTGTGTTTTTTTCCTAGAAGAAAAAATAACGTTCTTTGCCATTATTGTCGAGCAAAACAAAATAATCTTAGTGATTATTAAAAGACTATTGAAAAATAGTAGCGCGCTGCCTAATCATCCGAGTATTTCTATTGATATCAACCATTAGAAAAAAGCCCAATAGTACATTCTTTATGATGACAAAGACTAGAAATCTATAAATAGATATATTTTTATTACTGAAAATGTCCAGGTCCTCTAGATTAATTATTATAAAAATTGATTTTTATTTAGGCGCATCTAAAAATAGTAAAAACTAATGAATTTTTTCCTCTCGAATGATCGCCTTTTCACACGAAAATAGGCTAACATTTTCATTCTCATCTATTTTGTGTGAATCACTTCAAATGATTTTCGCACTTATCGAGAGCTTTAAATCTTCATGTTAAAACAATAGGTGACATTTGTCTCATTGATTCTTTGAAACGTTAAAGTTCGAACGTATAAGTAACACATCTTAATCCTTAATGATGCTTCAACTTTTTTGCTCTATCATGATATACTAAGAGTTCACTGCTATTCAAACATCTATCAGTCAAATAGAAATGCAACCTTACAAAGAAAAAATATATATGTACGTCTATAATTTTACTATGGTCTATCGCAGCTGTCAATAATTAGATCATGTTCTGCTTCACCATTTCATTGTCAATATGAAATGAAACCATTGGATATCCTCATCATGCAGTCATGTAATATAGAGCAATAAACATTACAATTGTGAAATAGGTCGTGATATTTCGAGTCTTTGTATGTGCATACAAAAAAGGCCATTATATATTTTCTCGCAAGATATATTGAATAAATAATATTTTTCTTTTTTCGTCATCATTTTTCTATTTAGCCCGTTTCATTCAAATGCAATTGCAATCATATGCAAACTGTGTTCGCCGACTGAGAAAAAAAATAAAATGAAACATTTTAGCATAAGCCAAGTGTATTTACATAAGATGATGTTTTTCTTATTAGGAAATAAGATAAACAATTGTTTCCATTTAAGCCGATTTACACTTAGTCACGATGAGTGTTCAATACGCATTTGTTTTTATTTTATATTTTAAAACTGAAATATAATACGACGTAATCGATAAGAATAAGAATCTAATGATTGTCTAATAACCAAAAAAAAAAAGAATCTATTGGATTGATTGTTTATGTAGCTATACCTTTCCTTCTCTTCTTTTTTTTACGCATATTAAGTTTGTTTTATTTATGCATGATACGAAATCAAAACATTGTATCTAACATAATATAATTCATATAGCTATTTAGATTTCCGTGTAAGCAATAATCGAATCTCTTTGTTAATTTCATGCTGATTGTGCATACATAGGTAAACAAATAAGCAATTTTCTTTTTTCATTCAAGCGTATTTCCCTCAAGATAGATAGATATATATAGATTGTTGACACTATATTATAGTCTTATTCATTAGATCAAGGTTGATAATTGAAATCTTGATCCTTCGTTTTCAATCTCACACGATGTACGTATTATCATGCAAATAGAAAAAGGAGAGTAAAGATAATTATTGAATGTTTATTCATGAATTTTGCTTGAACAAAAATTGATTCATCATTATGCAAAGAAAACAATTGATATCAGTTGTCTCTCGCACCTTGCTTTTCTTTCTCAAGTTATTTGTTCAAAATGAGTAGCTAGCTATATATATATATATATTTATGATAATAGATACATAAATATGAACGAACTTTATTCAAGCAAAAGGTCAACGTCATTGAATATAGCCTACGGAAAAAAAACCGATCACTAACATATTTCATTTATTATATTCAATTGACAAGAAGATCACAGAGTAGATGACAGCGAAACAAGATATAAATTTGCTATTTATATAAAATCACATATGTGTATGATATTGAATGTACTCTATTCTATGATGAATAAATGAGAGTATTGAACAGCTCGAGGCATTGTTCTCATTGGCGTGACAATAATCAAGCAATATATACTTTTTTCATTGAATTGTTTTAACACGAGCTAGAATGACGACGGAAATTATTGTCGGTTTGCTCTAGGCATATGTAGCTAGGATTTTCTTTTTGTTTATGAGTTTTACTGGTTTTATCTGACAATGCGGAAAAAAAGATAAGAATCTAATCCGTGAGCTGTTGTTTTTATCAATAAGCGTATTGACGAAGAAACAAAAAAGAAAAGAAAAAAGATTGGTTTCGTTTGTAGACGATAAAAAGGCCAGGTGAGAAAATTCATCATCATAAGCTATTTAATTCATTATTATGTTCGATTTTATAGTTCTATTTTCATTGTTTTTGATTGTTGTTTCCTATTCTATGATGTAATTGTTATAAGATGGATAGTTGAGCAGTAGTAGCGGCAGCGGCGTACTATCTCACGCAATTAGACACGTTCGAACGAAGATGATGTATGGTTCGTTGCCGATGATGGCGACAACGACAAAGCCATCTTTTTAACAACTATTCATTCGTTTCGGTGTATGAACAAATAATTTGCGCTTCTGTCTTCATTCTAATCAATAGCGAAGTGTAATATATTGTATATAATCAAGAAGCGTAGATGTGTAATGATAGTAGGGTTCAATTTTGTTTCTCTGAACACACATGCGAAGGTCTCATGAAATATAAGACCGAATGAATATTTCGTAACCTTATAGAAATGCAATAGAGATTTGAATAATTCGATAGGCATCATCGAACGAGAAATATCCATTAGAACAGTTGATCAAACAGAAAGAATAGAGATGATTTCCACAAGGATTTACACTATGTGTGTGTGTGCAGTGTATGCACATCTCCGTTTAGATGTGTGAAGAGTGTCAATGGTACAAGTTCGTGTTAATCTATGTACAATGAATGCATGGCGTGAAGAGGGACAAAGACACAAAAAGAAAAATCTCTTCGTTGTTGTCACCCATTCTTGAACATGTCTTTTTTTTTAGAGATGTGCGTGTCTGTCTCCATTCGTCAATGAAGTCGTTCACACTTTCTCTATCAGTCAACTAATCATCTTTAATTGCTCGTTAGTCGATCGCACGAGCGAGAATTC